CACTCTTCCTGCTCTCCACCTTCGATCCATCCGTATATATCTCCACGACTCCCTCCACATTACCAAATACTTTCATCTTAATTTCTTTAATTAATAAATTTTCTGAGCCCCCCATTAGCACATACCATGCCCCCAATTCTAGCTCTAAATATTCTTTCACTTTGACATGCCTCCATTTCATTCCTCCCATTTCCAGTTCCCTCCTACTCATTCCCACCTTTATCTCCTCAAACCTCCTCCATGCATCCACCATCGAATCTTTTCCCTCTTCTATATCTCCCGGCCTACTGTTTCTAATCCTCCCCTCCAAAGCTCCCATTACCTCCTCGTCTCTAGCCCAGTATTTCTTTGCAATATACCACTCCGTGAGAACCTCTACTCTAGCCCCCAACTCCATTATCCCCGCTTCTGTCTCCATGACGTTTATCGGCGTCGACATCCGATACCCCATGGCAATTCTAACTCCCGCATTGTGGATCTTTTGAATTTTGTTCCTATTTTTCTTGTTGTTTAAGTAATGGTGTGCTCCATATTCTATTACTGATCTAATTAATGCCTTAAAAATTGTTAAGATTGTCTCTGGCCCAGTACCTTTTTTTATCCCTCCTATACACTTTAGGATATTCATCCTTTTTTTTAGTTTCGCTGCAACATAGTCTGTATGTTTTTTAAAATCCAGTGTTCTATCCACCCACATTCCCAGAAACTTAGCTGCTTCCACCTCACTCACCCTCTCTTCTCCTATCTGAAATTCTTCCCTTCTTCCCCATCCTCCCTTCCCACTATATGGGAAGGTCACAATTTGTGTCTTTTCTGCTGCTACCCTCAGCCCTATCAAATCCAGGTTCTCACCGAGCTGTTCCATTGCCATTTCTATTCTCCTTTTCCCTTCCCTTCTATCCTTAAAATTTACAAAAATAACAATATCATCCGCATATTGCAGAATTCGCGCCCCCATTTCCCTCAAACCCCTTACAATCCCAGCTGTGTACAGATTGTACAAAATAGGGCTCAAGACGGATCCCTGCGGCAAGCCCTTCAACAGTCTTCTTTTCTTGTTCTCTCTCCCAAACATCACAAACTCCAACTCCCTCTTTTCCAGCCAGTTCTTCAGGTAAGACGTCATCTTTTTTGGACATTTCATTCTTTGCAACGCCTCCTCCAACTTGTCGTGTCTTACATTGTCATATGCCGCTTTCACATCGATAAAAGCCGCAGTCACCGCTTCCCCCTTCCCCCACGCTTCTCTTACAGCATTGACCAATATGTTTATGTTGTCCATAGTTGATTTTCCTTTCCTAAAACCATTTTGATTAATGTCCATCCTACCTGTTTCCTCCGCCCATATCCTTAGTCTCTCATTCACCATCCTCTCTAAGGTTTTCCCCATGCAATTCATCAATGAGATCGGCCTGAGGGCTCTCTTCTGAGGCTTTGGGATAAATTTCACCAAAGCTCTTTTCCAACTCCTTGGCACTCGCCCCCCACTCCATACCTCATTGTACAAGTCTATGATTGCCTCCTTCCAACCTCTCATCCACAGTTTCATCACATCATATCCTATTCCATCTTCTCCCGGCGTTGATTTACCCTTTGCCCTTGTCAAGGCCCACTCGAGCTCTTCCAATTCAAAGTCCCTTGTTAGCCATTCCTCCAATTCCCGTTCCAGTCCCGTTGTCTCCTCCTCCTCCTCTTCCCCTCGCACAATTGGATTGTCTTCTACAACGTTGTCGTCTCCCTCCGCTTCCTCTCCATCTATCGTACAACAATATTCTATTTCTTCTAATTTCCTTACCTCTTCTTCTTCCATCTTTTGTATCTCCCACCTCCCCAGGTTTCTTTGGTCCTCCGTGTCAATTCCTTTTGCAAGGCTCCTCACCTTCCTCCACATTTCTCCGATATTCCTCTTATGTCTTATACTCTTTATAAATTCCTCCCATGCCTCTTTCTTTTTTCTCTTCACTGCTCTTTCCATATTTTTCTTGGCTTCGGTTAATTTATCCCAGTTCTCTTCATTAGGCCTCCTCCTCATTAACAGAGTTGCCCTTCTTCTTTCCTCCTTCAACCTCTCACATTCATCATCCCACCAGGGTTGCCTTTTAATTTTCCTTTTCCTTTTCCCCGTCCCTCTATTTCTCCCCTCCTCCCCATTTCGTTCCATTCCGTCATCCCTTCGTTTTCTTTCCTCTTTACTGCATTCCCCAATTCCCTTTATTAATAAATTAACTAATTTTTTGCATTTCCCATCTATATTCTCATTTCCTCCTACAATCCCCTTGGCTTCCTCCTCACTCCTTATTAACCATTTCAAGAGTTCCCCTTTGTCTATCTTTTCCATCTTATATCTTCTATTGCCTTTCCTTCCCTCTATTATTCTCCCCTCCTCTTCCCATCCAAACTCTATTATTTGATGGTCTGATCCTAACGTTTCCCCCGTTTCTCTTGTTCTCATTTCTAGAACCTGCTCCGCTGAAGCAATTATTAGGTCTAAATTAGAAGCCCCCTGATCTGGTCTCCCTATTCTCGATAACGTATTAAAGTTAACGACCACCAATTCCTCCTTGTCCAAAACTTCCTCCAACAACTCTCCGCTCTGATCTTCCCCGTCACAATTCCAACTTCTACTCTTTGCGTTGAAATCACCCACAAAAATTCTACTTCCCCTGGCTCCAGAATTCCCCAATAACTCTTTCCAATCCCTTTTGGTGATCGGGTTCCCAGGTCTTCTATATACTACTACTATCTCCATGTTACCCCCCTCAGTCTCTATCTTTCTTTCATTCCGTATATACTCCTCCACCCTAATCACCTTTATATCCTCTCTTATCATTATACATAAGCCCCCACCTCTATTTTCTCCCCCACTATCCTTTCTGATAAAATGCCACCCTGGTATTCTATATACCTCCTCCGGGCGCAGCCATGTCTCCGTAATTGCTATAAGGTCAAAATTTTCCCCCACTCTCCTTATCTCCTCCCTCTTATTCCTCATACTCCTAGCATTCCATACTCCACACCTCATCCCTTTCCTATTCCCAATATTTTCCCTTTTGCTCCCCCCTTTATATTTCGTGACGCTACCGTTGTTCCTATTTCTTCCCCCCCTCTAGGGCCCCCCAGGATTTCTTACTTACTAATATACAATCACATAAAAACATATAACGTAAGTATACATAAAACTCGCATAATATTAAAAACTTTATATTATTAAAAAACTTTGTACCAACAATCAGTCTTATTCGACCTTCGTCCAACGTATGTTCTCTATACTTATCAGAAAATAAAATATTTGCTTTATAATACATTCGTATATCTAAAAGCACCCTAAACTGTCCATACATCACAAACTTTAAGGCACCTCTGTAACCTTTCAATCTACCGTCAAAAAAGTATAATGAAACAAAAACAAAAACAAAAATTAAAAATGTTTGTCTTTCCCATTCATCCCACACAGATCTTTCGTTGTACTTATTACGCTTAACATAAACATAATACTGCTTTACCGTTTTGGTCGTGTTGATTAAAATATTTCTACTCTCAAAGGTTAATGAATGAACATAAAACAAAACTGGAAAACAAAACCAAATTAAACATAAAAATAACAAAAATAACTGCGTCTCGCAATCTGCTTTCGCCTCCTTAAAACCTACTTTTCCCTTAACAATTAAGTGTCTTTGTCTTAAGCCTAAACTATATCTATGTCTATAAGTCCATTTAGAAAAGTCCTTTTTTAATCGGTCTTTTAAGAGCTTTCCGTATTCTATTAACTCTTTTTTATCAATTTCCCACTTATATACTAATCTCACCATTCCACATTTCACTTTTAAGCTCTTTTCACTCTCTCTAACACTTATTCTTCTCTTCTTCCTGTCGTTGTCCCTCTTCTCCTCTTCCTCTCCTCTTCTTCTATTACTTCTCTTATCCATTTTTCTCCCTTTCACCATTTTTCTTTTGTTTGTTCTTCCTTCTCTACTCCCTCTGTTTGCTCTTTTTCTATCCTCCCATTTCTCTTTTCATTCTCCATTTGCACCAACTCATTTCCTTTCTCCGTCACCTTCCTCCTTCCTTCCTGCGATTCTGCCTGTTTTGCTTCCTCCTTCCAAAGCTTCAACACTCTTTCCATTTCTTCTTTATCTCTCCTCTGCCTCTCCGTCCATAATATCCATTCACTGGATTTTCCTTCCCTTACTTTTCTTATCTCCGCTTCTCTGTTTCTTTTTTCGGCTCTCCTTCTTACTCTTTCTCTTGTCTTCGGGTCAATATAGATGTCAAACGGGGGGGTTACTACCGCGTTCCAGTCCTCCTCTTCTTCGGGGGATTTTGCCCTGTGTTTCTTCCCTCTATTCTCCTTTAGTATTTCCTCAAATCTTCCCTCCATATTTTTTTCATGTAAGAAGTTAATAAACTCCTTCATTATCTCCTCCTCCTCCATTCTTTGTCTTTTCTCCAACTCCAGGTTTTTCTGTTTCTTTTTCTCTTCATCCCTTCTCTCTTCTCCCTTATTTCCCTCTTCGCCCGAGGACACCCGTTCCCTTTCTTCTCTATCTTCCTCAGATCTCTCTCCTCTCACCATTTCGTGTGGGAAGGGAATGTCTTCCAGTACCTTCCCATTCCTTTCTGTCTTTTCTTTGCACTCCAGGCAAACGTATCGATTATTTATTTTGATTAGGTCCGTTTTGCTATTAAAGCATGCGGGCCTACCTCCCTTCTTTCCCTTTGGAGCTAGGTTCCAGCCCACCGTTCCTTCTTCCTCTTCGTCCTCCTCGTCTACCCTTTCTTATTCCATCCCTGCAGGGATAGTCGATTTTCTCTCCCCGCTTCTTCCTCTCCTTACGACGTCACTGAAGCTTTCTCTGCCTCGATTTCCTCCTCTGCTTCCATTCAACTCTTCCCTTCCTCTCCTTACATTCTCCAACTCTCTCTCTATTGGGATTTCTTTTTCCTCACAGATTTCCCTTTTTCCCCTTTGTATTAACGCCGGGTAATCTCTACTTCCTCCGTCATCGCCTCCGTCTAGTCCTCCCACTCTATCCACTTCTCTGTCACCCAAAGATCTTGCTACGATCCCTCTTGCCGTGTCAAACTCAACATTCCGGAAGGCCATGACCTTTCTAATTGCGGCCTCCCTCTGCCACATCCAACACCCCCTTGACAGAGAACCATGACTGCCTCCACAATTAACACATTTTGGGTCTTTATTGCACTGTCCATGTTCTTTGTCCCCACACACAGCACATTTCCTTACTTGCTCCCTGCACGTCGCCTGCACATGCCCAAACTTCAGACAGCGATAACATTGCTTCACTGGTTCCACGAAGGGCTCGATTTTTATCCCCACGTGGCCCTGCCCTATGAGTAACCTTGTAGGCAGAACGCTCCCCTTAAAGACAATCATAATTGCCCTCATTGCCTCATACGTCACCTTTCCATCAATAATTCTTCTCCTTCTCATCCTCTCTAGCACATAGTCTCCTTTTCCGGGTGTTGCTTCCTCCTTTAGCTCATCCACCGAATCTTCCCATTCGAAGATTATTCCCCTCCTGTACTTCATTCTTCTCGGCAAGAACGTCGTAAATCTCTCTTCTCTCTTGCAATAACGCTTTAGCAGGTTATTCGCCTCCTGTCTGCTTCTGGTTGTAACCTCGGCCCTGCTAAAACCAACCATCCTAATTGATTTTATGTTAACCCCGGTTCCCTGCACCATTCTATAAATTTTTATAAGATTGTTCCTTTTCGTTTTGTTTTTCCCTGTCACCTTAAGTGCACAGCATACTAAGTATTCCCCCCCAGCTACGTATTCCTCATACAAATCTATAATTTCTTCTTTTTTTTTTTGTTCGAATTTATCATTCCCTTCATTTTCTCTAGCTTTAATGTCCTTATTTCTATTCGTTTCCCCCCATTGTTCTCAACCACGTGTTGCGTTTCACGCACGCACTCTTCGTTATTCTTACTTATTCTTTCTAATTCCCCCTTATCCCCTATCTTATAGTCTAATACTACTACTACCTTATTGCTATTGTAGATTGCGACTTCCGTCCGATTGTCTTTTCCACCCTCAGTTGTTTTAACGTCCTCGCGTTCTTTGTTTTCTTCTGTTACGATGTTCACTGTACTTCACTCGGCTTCAAAATGGCCGTTGTTCTGCGCAAATAGAGCGTCCTTTTCCGTTTCCCCACGCTCCCGCACCGTATCGGGGGTCGCTGGAGTCGTCACTGTTACCAACCTTACCGAATCGAACTCACCTTCCCCATCCGATACGATCACCTCATTGGCCAATTCACTTAGAACCGACACTACGTCACTTCCTCCCACCTCTCTGATTCTTCTCTTCTCCTTCCTGACTCCCTCCTCCGACTCCTCGCTCTCCTCTTCCATTTCCCTAGCTCTCTTCTTTCTCTCTTCCACCTCCATCTTATCCCTATTTCTTCCCTCCTTTTCTTCCTCCTGCTTCGCACCTTCCATACACTCCCTTTTCGAAGCGTCCAAGACAGCCTTTTCCTCCTCGGCCAGGTACTCCAGTGCCCAGTCCTTCTTTAAGCTTTTCAATAAGCTCGTATCCTCTTTTCCTTCATCCGGGCAAATTCCCTCCTCTCCTTCCATGCTCATCGTAGTCACGTTTTCGCCTTTACCTTCATCACCACTCATCGCATCTTCATATTCTTCCGTTTCTTTTCCTCCTTCCACTTTCCTTCTCTCTCTCCTTGTCTCCCTTATCCTTTCTATGTTTCTGTTCCTGGTTCTTGGCCAACCAGGAGGCCCACGTTATTTTCTTCCACTCTTTCTTATATTGTAATTTATTCTTACTTACTACCAAACAGTAAAATAAACTAACAAACTCTTATAAACCTATCTCTACACAATTGTCCAGAACAGACCAATCGGAACTCAAGAAAATCAAAAAAAATCACAGAGCACAATAGGAACGCGTCTTACTCCATCGTCGCCATCTTGTCTCCCCCACTATCTCACTCAGGATTTTCCCCTGTTCACACTCGGTCTTACTTCTACACCTATTCACTTCATGGCTTAAGCTCACAGCTTTTCCTCCCCCCTCCTTCTCACAATATTTTATCTCTGTCGCTTTACAATTATTATCACATCCACACCATACATCCACATACACATACATACGTACGCGTTCATTATAATATGATGTAGTCTTCATCTGATACTTACATACAAATCTAGTCAACAAGCAATTGTATATATTATATATAATATATATCTTGTATGTATATGTAAGTTTCGGTGTCAGAAACTTAGGTGTGAGGGGCTATGGGAGAGGTTAGGAATAATAATCGACACGTGTTGTTACAGAAGTAATTCTGAAATTATAATAGATTACGGTCTTACATAAGTTGTGTTGTGAAGGTACATACGATAAAATAATACAATGCATAGGTACCTGAATCAACACAATTGTCGGGATTTTTATAATAATTAATATATTTAATCTCACACGTGGCTATATCACAGCATAACCTCCGCAGTCGCCCGAGGTACGTCTCCACGAGTGAGACGTGCGCGCCACCGCCTGTGTCTGGCGCTGTAGTCGTGCGACTCGGCGTGCGCGCTAAGTTTAAACGTGTTTAAACTTACATATATATTAGGGGGACCCATAAGTAATCAATTATTTTGCATTCATAGACAAAATGTTTTTTTGAAATGACATTTTTATTTTTTAAGCGTTTATGTAATCACCGTCGTTTGCGATGACTTGTTGCCATCGTTCCTGCAAAAGTTCAACACCCCTCTTGAAAAAGTGGGGTGAACTTGATTCAAAATATAACTCAAGGTGCGTTTGGACATCGGATAAGAAATTAAAATTTTTATTTCGTAACGAATGCTCCAGTGACCTGAACAGATGGTAGTCCGACGGTGCTAGGTCTGGAGAGTATGGAGGGTGCGGTAGAAGTTCCCAGCCTAACTGCTTAATTTTTTCTTGAGTAATCTTCGCTGCATGAGGACGGGCATTATCTTGTTGGAGTATCACACCTTTTCTGTTTACTAAAGCTGGTCTTTTTTCTATGAGTGCGGACTGTAACCGTTGTAATTGTTGACAATACAGGTCAGCAGTAGCTGTCTCCCCAGGTTTCAATAATTCGTAATGCACTATAACGGAACAATCCCACCAAATATACAATAACACCTTCCTCAGGGATAGGGTTGGTTTAGGGGTTGGAAGAGGTCTCTCGTTTGCAGACAACCATTGTTTCGATCGCTTTATGTTATCATAAAGGATCCATTTTTCATCTCCAGTTACGATCCTAGACAAAAATGGATCTCTGCTCAGTCTGGTGAGCATGGAATTACAAATTGTTCGCCGAAGATCTTTATTGGCCTCAGACAACAGGTGTGGAATCCATTTACCTTGTCTATGTACCTTGCCAATTTCTTTTAAATGCCTTTGTACGGTGGACCAGGTAGAGCCAAGGCTTCTTGATAGTTCCTGTATAGTTAACCTTGGATCGGACTCCACTAGAGATTTTAAGGCGTCGTTATCGAATTGACCTGGGCGTCCAGTTCGATGCTTATCTAACAGGTCATAATCACTTGCAGCAAATCTTCTGAACCAACGTTGACACTTGTTGACCTTCAACACATCTCCATATATGTCGCAAATTTTGCTTGTTGTTTCCGTGGCACTTAAACCGGCGTTAAAATGGAAAAGCACACAATTACGAATATGGCTCTCAGAAGGTACAAAGTCCGCCATTTTATTTCAGGGCTACAACAAAAAATTTATATTGTTGGGAATAAATTACTAACAAACTGGTTGAAGAATAACACAAAAAAAAGTATGCTTACACTTGTCTGGTTGTCGCAGGACTAATGAGAAATGGTATCTTGCGAAAATAATTGATTACTTATGGGTACCCCTAATAGTATCTCTTTCGAACTATTGCTCATAACCCTTATATTACATATCACAATTTTAAGCCACATTGTTTAATGAAGGCCCCTATTAATCTCAGGGGTTTCGCCTCCCCCATTTCTTTGGTTTCATAAAAATCGCATCCTCTCCTCACCCTGCACCTATTCATTCTATTCACAAACTCATTTCTCTTTCCATCATATTTATTACATTCCCATAGCAAGTGTTCCACGTCCTCTATTTTATCACACACCTCGCAATATGGATCTACCACCATAAATTTTCTAAAAAGTGACCATTTTAGATTATAGTGGTTTGCTCTTATCCTGCTTAAACTGCAAAAGGTCTCTCTATTCAAATCTCCTATCCCCCTAAACCATGGGAAGTCTTTACCCACGTTGTTCCATCTCGCCTCAAAATATTTCCTCCCGTATACTCCCCCTGTCTCAAATGTGTTTCCGTTGATTCAATCCATCTCCTCTCCCTTATCACGCTCCTAAAATCCTTCAAAGTGAACTTCACCCAAAAATCAGCGTCCACAGTTGTAGCCTCTTTCGCCATCCTATCCGCTCTTTCATTACCCTCTATCCCGACGTGCGCCGGCACCCATGCTACCACCACTTTTCCCATATCCTCCCCCTTTTTTTCAATCTCAAAGTTTCTTTTCTTTATTTTATTCCTAATCCTATCAATCTCATCCCCTATATCCTGACCTCTATTGTCCTTTGCCAATTTACCTATCGTACTCAGTGAATCCGATAGAATTAGCACATCCCTTCCTCTGAATCTCCCCTCAGCAATTTCCACCGCTTTTGATATAGCCGTCATTTCTATTGTATATACCGAACACTGAGCAGGGGCCGTAAAACCTTCCTTCTCCCAATATTTCCCATTCTCTCTTATCACTACCGCACCTCCTCCGCTCTTTCTACTCTCTGTTCTAGACCCATCTGTATGTATCTCTATGACATTTTTATTTCTACCAAACATTTTAATTTTAATCTCTATCAACAACGCCCACTCACTCATACCATCTATCTCAAACCTCCTCCCACATTCCCACTCTAAACAATTCTCCATTCTATAAATCCTCCACTCCGCATCGTACTCCGCCATTTCCCTCCTACTCATTCCCAACTTTACTTCCCCGAATCTTCTCCACGCATTTACAATCATATCTTTACCCTCCCTAATCTCCTCCTCCATACTATTCCTTATCCTATTCTCTAAAGCACCCACTGTATCCTCATCTCTACTCCAAAACTTTCTAGCTATATACCATTCAGTCAAAGTCCTAACCCTTATTTCCAAGTCCATAATACCCGCTTCCGTTTCCATGACATTAATTGGGGTTGACATCCTGTACCCCAAAGCAATCCTGGTACCCGCATTATGAACCTTCTGAATTCTTTCTCTATTTCTTTTATCATTCGGATAAAAGGGCGCCCCATACTCAATTACCGATCTAATAATAGCCACAAATACCTTTAATATCGTCTCAGGACCCGTACCCTTCCTTACTCCCCCTAAACACTTTAATATATTCATCCTTTTCCTTAATTTAGTCACTGTATATTCAGTGTGCTTTTTTTAAAATCAAGCCCTTCATCTATCCACATCCCCAAAAACTTTGCCGCACCCACCTCCTCTATTCTTTCATTATCCACCCTAAATTCTTCCCTAGCTAAACCTCCTCTCCTTCTACTATTTAGGAATTTTACAATTTGAGTTTTTTCCATCGCTATAGATAGCCCTATCCTATCGAGATTCTCTTTAAGCTTCTTTACAGCCTCTTCTATCCTCCTTTTCCCCTCATTTCTTTTCTCAAACTCGACAAATACAACGATATCATCTGCATACTGGAGAATCCTAACACCGGCCTCTCTCAAGCCCTCACCTATATCTCTCGTATATAAATTATACAACAACGGGCTCAGGACAGAGCCTTGAGGTAAGCCCTTCTTCAGTTTCATCTCAATCCTATCTCCTCCCAAAGTATGTATCTCTATCTCCCTTTCCTTAAGCCATGCTTCTATATATCTCGCCGCTCTTCCCGGACACTGCATACTCCTGAGTCCTTGTACCATTAAGTCATGCTTGACATTATCATATACCGATTTAACATCGATAAAAGCCGCCATCACTTTTCTTCCTTTTCCCCAACTCTCCTTTATACTGTTGATCAAGATTCCAATATTATCCATTGTTGATCTGCCCTTCCTAAAACCATTTTGGTTAATATCCATTTTATACTCCTCTTCCGCCCATATCCTAATTCTTTCGTTCACCATTATTGAATTATGGGTAAATGATTATAGTCCTCTATCTAATTATTATCTTGTTT